CCACCACACCCAGCTAGTTTTTGTATTTTTAGTAGAGATGCAGTTTCACCATGTTGCCCAGGCTGGTCTCAAACTCCTGACCTCAAATGATACGCCAGCCTTGGCCTCCCAGACTGCTGGGATTACAAGTGTGAGCCATCATGCCTGGCCAAATAAACTTTTAACCTTAGAATAGTTTTAGATTTACAGGAAAGTTGCAAAGACAGTACAGAGAGTTCCCATATTCCCTCAACCCAGTTTGCCCCTCTGTCGTTATTAACATCTTATATAAATATGGTACATTTGTCGCAATCAGTGAACCAATAATGATACATTATTATTAACTAAAGTCTATATATTACCCAGATTTCTCTAGTTTATGCCTGATGTTCTTTTTCTGTTCCAGAATCCTCATGGCATCTATTCTATGCATTAAATTTACTCTAGTTTTATTCTCACTAATCTTCATTTTTCCCTTATTCTAAGCTCTGTAACTATTGTTATCTAATATGTGCCATCTTATTCTATAAACCTTCCCCAATACTTCTGGGAACTATATGAAGTAATAAAAAAAATTAGGAGACAAATTTACTGAAAGATACAATTTGCTTTTTTCTAGCAAGTTAAATAGTAGTTTTCAAAGTAATGTTTTTAAAAAATTCTTACATCTTTTAAAAATAGACATACAATGAAATGTCCAATTAAAATTCTGTTAAAAGTTATCATTTGGAAAAAAATACAAAGTCATTTTTTAAAAACTCTTTTTATATTAATCTCCAGAATTCTCTTTCGTTGTCAAATAGAGCATTAATAATCCCGACTGTCATTACTGAGTCATGCAACCTTAAGGTGATCTGAGATAGCACATATCTAAAACAAAGGCTAAGCAAAATGATCTTATAATGTCCTTTTCCATTAGAAATATCAATTTCTTAGTTTTGTGACCTATGTTGACTGTTAGATTTGCATGTTTTTCCATCACAAATAAAAAGTAGAAAACAATGTTTTTAAACAAAAGTTACATTTAAAAAAGAATATCACAAAATGAAGTTTGAAGCATTCCTTGAAATTAATTCAAAGGAAAAAATAAAATAGATTAACCAAATGCAGCACATAATTTATATATATCTGACTTCAAAAGTATCCTGGAAATGTGGGAAGACAGTTTATTTAAAAAAAAAAAGATGCAAGATGTGAGTGTTTATCAAACTAGATTAATTCCATAAAATTATTGAGACACCAAACTGGGGGTGAAAAAAGGTAAAACTTGACACTTATAATGCCAAATGGGTACTATATGTAAGAATTCTGTTATACTTAATCTATAAGTATAAAAATTATCCTGCCTCAGAACAACCCTGATTATTAAGGTATGACTGACTGATGCATTGATGGAAACCTCCAGTTTGCAGTTTAATTTGTCACAAATATCAAGAGGTAGTATACTCACTGATATCAAGAACCATAAAAACCCCACCATTCTAGTCACCTTCATTCCCTAACTGCCATGTATTCTATATCTACAAGTCTTTCTGCAGAAAAGGATAACAAAATAGTAAAAATTTAAATAGGCCATTATTTCAAAAATCAATAGGGTGGGTGCAATGGCTTATGCCTACAATCCCAACACTTTTGGAGGCTGAGGCAGGTGGATCACTTGAGATCAGGAGTTCAAGACCAGCCTGGCCAACATGGCAAGACCCCGTCTCAACTAAAAACACAAAAATTAGACTGGCATGGTGGTAGGTGCCTATAATCCCAGATACTCAGGAGGCTGAGGCAGGAGAACTGCTTGAACCCCCAGGAGGCGGAGGTTGCAGTGAGCCGAGATCGTGCCACTGTACTCCAGCCTGGGTGACAGAGCAAGACACTGTTTCAAAAAAAAAAAAAATCTACTGTATAATCTTCAACTCAGAATTTTAAGTCAACATCTCAGTCATATATTTCCAATGTAAATGGTTACACAAAAATACCAGCCATTATATAGGAGAGTAGGTAATGAAATATATAAGAAATATATATTTATATATAAATGGAAAAGAAATGCCTAAGAGTAAGTCCTTATCTAATTATTTCAGAATATGAGCACTTCCTAGTTATAACAATAAAATTGTTATTTATAAAAATAAAATATATTTATTTTAAATATATTTTTTGCAATTTGCAATATATAACTGATTCATGAAATTCACTCTCAAAGGACGAAACAAAATAACTAGGAATTTGAATAAGTTTATTTGAGTAATAGAGAGCAAACTAAAGTAAACATAATTTCTCAATATACTGAAATTGTTTTGTTGATTTACTTTTAATTGAGGAAAAGCCTACTTTATCAACGAAGTAAAGGTACCAGCTTTATATGTCCTATTAAGAAGAAAGTAGTAATTCACTAGTATAAAAAAGTATCTGTGTTCAACCTCTTGTCAAAAAAGCTTTCACATATTGTGCCTTTTATCTAATACACTTTTATCAGACAAATCATTTCAATCTTAAATAATCCATTTTAAGTCACCTTTCTTTGACTATAATTATAAATCCAGCCCACTTTAGACAAAAGTGGAGGAGTATGATATTATGTGGAGGCTACTCATTATACTATAACATATCTTATGTAGGAAATCAGAAAAAATGTTTTTTACCTCTAATTATGATTATAACCACTTAAGTCATTTAAATATCTTGGTACAGCTATACTTAGGTTTAATTCAATAAACATTTAAAAAACAAATGTCCTCTAGATATTAAAAACAAGGGAAAAATACTCTTATACTGATTTTTAAAAAAAATCAAACTATCAATGAACTCAAGAAGTCTATAAACCTATTGGTTCACTATTATCCAAGAGAAGGCTAGCATTAATCATACTAATCTAAGATAATTTAAGATTTTATGATGGGGTTTTCAATGCTGGCTATATATGATTATATGTTAGAATCACTTTGGGGAGAATATAAAAATACCAATCAATATCAATATCATGCATTAATACAAATGACTCCACCCCTAGATACTATTTCAACGGGTTTAGAATGGGGACCAAATGTAGGTATTCGTTAAAGAAATAAAAAGACTCCCTCCCCATTGAGGAGCTGAGTTGTTCAGTAGATCTGAAAGCCACTACTTAGGGTATACTACAGTTTTAAGGTAAAAAGAAACTTGTTCTCTGGCATCAAAGGTTTTAGGTATACTAAAACTTAAAGTATAGGGGGAAAAAAGGAGAATAAAGAGAGAAAGGCAATATTCAAAAAAGATTCCTACCAAATATCTTTTTCCTTTAAAAATGTTACAAGTTTAAAGCCTTCTCTTGGACTTCTTTGAAAACTGCATATGCTGCATTATTTTATAAATAACTGCTAAACAAAAGCCTAAAAATACACAATGAATAGCAAGGATAAGATATAGAAATGATTGTCATTTAAACTGAATATCATATAAGAGATAATATAAAATCGTAATGCAAATGAGAGAATTACAGTTCTCTTTAATACATTTTTCTAACTTCAATACTATATAGACTGTTTCCTTAAACCACTTGACAATATCTTCAATTCTCCACTCTTTCAAGAAAAAAATTCAGGTTTAAAAAGACAAGAATTGACACAGTTTTACATTATATTTACATGAAAGTATAAAGAAAAAATGTGTGATGTTTTTCTTGTGAAAGTAATACATATTCCTACAATATTTCCTCTATGAAATGGTCCAAAGAAGTTAATGTCTCTGAATAATGAGAAAAAGAAAAGGCTCCTAGCTATAAGTATTTGTCATTTTGAGCATACTTTCACAAAATTCAGTTTTTCTGTAATAACTGCTGAAAGTAAATTAAAAAAATAGTAGAAACGTGCTCCAGCATAAAAAGGATGAATAAATATCATCATAATTTTCAATTTATCTCAGAGTATCTTTGTTACAAACAATAGTAAAATAAGAGAACCAATATTAAAGCAAGTTATACAGGGTAAGGAATCAGTTCAGCTTCTATGGAACTTCATTTTTCTTATATACTTAAAATAACTAAAGGAGGTATTCTTTATGGCATATAAAATAAGAGATAATCCAATAAAAAACTAAACATATTGATAAACCTTAAGTGTCTTGAGATAAATATTAGAGAATTAAATACATTATAGTCTAAAATTCAGTGACATGAAACTAACAGCCAATGCCGGACTTAACATGGTAAAGGAAAAGACTTTTGGATGTTCAGAGGAAATACATTTTTAATTCAGAATGGTTTGAGGTAAGAGGTGTGTATTTCTACATGACTGATGAAATGAAACTTTTAACTATAAATCTACAGTTTTATTAAACAGCTTCAGCATCTGTTGTCATGAGAACAAGCCTCTAATAGCTTGTCACTAGAATAACTTCATAGAATTGTTGTCTCATAAAGATATTATCCTGTACATCCAACCTAGAATATTCTCCATATGTACTTTTTCGTATTCAACACTCATTTTAAAAATCTGATTTAAAGATTGGAATGTGGAATTTTAAAAGAATATCTAGCCTCAGAAGGAACATTCTCCCTCAAGAACAGTTGTTGAACTAGCTCCTATTTACTGACACAGAACATGTACACATGTATATATAAACATGCTTACACACACATTCACTGTAAACATTCTCCATTGTTTTACTGGTCCCAGTCTAAAGGCACGACATATATAGAAAGGAAAAGATGTGTTGCATAAATTATGGATGAGGGGAGAGGAAGGGAAGAAAACATATTGTGAGAAGGAAGCATGACACAGAAAAACTTACGACTACACCAATATATATGATTCACAGTCCTAAGGTGATATAAGGACATAGTAAAATATTCATCATAGGGTAAAGGGGAGTTAGACAAGAGAAAAATTTAGAATAAAATATAAAATAATCACAATATATATTATTAAAAGAAAAAAGACCTATATAATAGGACAGGTTATCATATTAGTTTTATACTCCGCAGTACAAAATATCTTTCCTTAAAAAGTGATTTTCTGTGATTAAACTTAAGGGTTAATTCATCTTACCTTCCACAGAAGGTGCCTGGTCCTGAGCTGAATACAGCATATCCTTGAAAGCCTATTAGAAAGAAAGAAAAAGAATATATGAAATCATGAGTAAGCTTTATACTCAAAGTATCTGAAGCTAAACAATTGTTTTTCAATATTCAGTGACCACACAGTTCCCCAAATTGAGAAATACTTCAATTAACATTTATAAGCTAAAATCCACATATTATACTTTCATATCAATCCAGTATTGTCTAGTTTTTAAGATAAGGGCTAATTTGTATACTTTAAATTAAGGAACACCTGGAAAAGAATGAAAAATCACATGAGAGATTATAAACCCTCTTCACTAAGAAAAAACACAGAACAAAAGTCCTAGAGAAATAAACTAGAAGACTGCATAAGAAACTATCAAGAACTGGATACAATATCTTTTTAAAATTGTAACAAGGAATATGTAAAATAAAATTCGCCTTCTCAACTATATTTAAATTCATAGTTCAATAGTGTTGAGTACATTCACATCGTTGTGCAACCATTTTCCAGAACTCTTTTCATCTTGAATCCTTTTTTAAATAAAATTTTATTTTTTATAGCCAGGCGTGGTGGCACACGCCTATATTCCTAGCTACTCAGGAGGCTGAGGTGGGAGGATCACTTGAACCCAGGAAGCCAGAAGTCACAGTGAGCCAAGACTGCACCACCACACCCCAGCCCAGAAGACAGAGCAAGGCTCCATCTCAAAAATAAATAAAAAAATAATATTTCCTACAAATAATAACTGTACATATGCCTGGGGTACATGGTGATATTTCAATACATAAGGTATATACTGATCAGATCAGGGGAATTTGGATATCCATCATCTAAAACATCTATAATTTTTTTTGTGTGTTGGGAACATTCAATATCCTCATTCTAGCTATTTGAAACTATATACTATTGTTAACTATAGTCATCCTACAATGGTACAGAACACTAGAATTTATTCCTCCTATCTAGCTGTAATTCTGTATCCTTTAACAAATCTCTCCCTATCCTCCCCAATGTCCTCTTCTCTTCCCAGCCTCTAGTATCCCCTGCTCTACTTTTTATTTTCATGAGATCAACTATTCTCAGGTTCCATATATGAGTGAGAACATGCAGTATTTAACCTTCCATTCCTGGCTTATTTCATTTAACCTAATGTCTTCCAGTCCATTCATGCCATCACAAATGATAGAATTTCATTCTTTTTATGACTGAATAACATTCCTTTGTGTATATATACCACATTTCCTTTAGCAATTTATCTGTTGTTGGACACCTAGGTTGATTCCCTATCTTGGCTATTGTTAACAGTGTTGCAATAAGCAGAGGGGTACAGATGTCTCTTTGGTACACTGACTTCCTTTCCTTTGGATAAATGCCAGTAGTGGAATTCCTGAATCATACCGTATTAACAGTTCCATGTGCAGTTATCTGAGGAATCTCCATACTGTTCTCCATAGTAGCTATACTAGTTTACATTCCCACCAACAGAGTATAAGACTTCTTTTTTCTCTGCATTCTTACCAGCATTTTTTTGTTTTGTTTTGTTTTTTGTCATTTTGGTAACAGCCATCCTAACAGATGATACTTCACTGTGGATCTGATTTGTATTTCTTTAATTATGAGTAATGTTAAATATTTTTTTCATTTAGCTGTTAGCCACTTGCACGTCTTCTTTTGAGAAATGTCTGTTCAGATCACTCACCCATTTTTAAATCATTTTTTTGTTGTTGTTGAGATGGTTCAGTTCCTTGTATATTCCAGATATTAATTGCCTGTAGTGTGAGTAGTGTGCAAATATTTTCTCTCATTTTATAGGTTCTTTTTTCATTATACTATTTCCTTTGCTATCCAGAAGTGTTGTAATTTGACATAAACCTATTTATTTCTTTCTTGCTTTTGTTGCCTATGATTTTGAGTTCTTACTTGTGAAATCTTTTCCCAGACCAATGTCCTAAAGCATTTTTCAGTGGAGATCTGGAAAGTCTTCCCTAAGGGTTTAGGACCATAAAGTCTGGATAGGTTTATAGTTTGTTTTGTTTTGTTTTCCAAAACCACACTCTAGATTAGCTAATGGTATTTAGGTAATTTGGATGGTTAGAGTTTAATCTCTTAATAAGTTGTTGGGGAACAGGATTGAGAAATATTTCCTTATTATCTATCAAAATGGTAAAATCAATTAAGTGGATGAGGACATCCATAGCTTCAAAGCTTTAAATACCATCTAAACACTGATGATGCACAAACTGGCCTACAGCAGGATTCCTCAAACTCAGTATCATTAGTATTTGGGGCCAGATAATTCTTTGTTGTGGGGGGCTGCTCTGTGCCTTACAGAATTTTGAGTAGCATCCCTAGCATCTAGAGACCCATTAGATAACAGTATCAATTCCCACACCCCAACTGTGAAAACTAAATATTGCCAAATGTCCTCTGATGGCAAAAAGATCACTTCCCAGAACCAGCAAAAATATTCAAGCATATAAATACCAAAAAGGAAGAAGTAAACTTCCAGAGTAACCCACTCTTTTTAAGAAAAGAATGCGGGCCCTCAAGTCTAGTAAATTACATTCTTCCCAAGTGAATTTACTATTTGCTTCAGACTAGTGGCCAAACTGTCAGATCCATGACTAACCAAGCCTAATAATATACAGTAAAATATTTCCAATGAAACCAAAAAAGATAAAAATTTTAAATCAGTGCAATTTTGTTCATTTTGACCAGTTTTTTTTTTTTTGAGACGGAGTTTCGCTCGTTACCCAGGCTGGAGTGCAATGGTGCGATCTCGGCTCACTGGAATCTCCGCCTCCTGGGCTCAGGCAATTCTCCTGCCTCAGCCTCCTGAGTAGCTGGGATTACAGGCACGCACCACCATGCCCAGGTAATTTTTTGTATTTTTAGTAGAGACGGGGTTTCACCATGCCGACCAGGATGGTCTTGATCTCTTGACCTCCTGATCCACCCGCCTCAGCCTCCCAAAGCATTTTAACCAGTTTTATTAAAATGTTGAATGTACAAAAATGGAAAATGATGTATGTACAAAAATTGTTAATGTCACATATGCTTAAATCCAATAACATTCAGTAATATTCACTACTCATACAGAATTTGAAGCAATACAATAATGCAATTGAGGTATAATAAAAAAATCAGTATTTGGTCTTTGTATCCAGTTCCCAGCACAGAGCTCCAAAAACCTTTGGAATGTACTGTCTTTTATATGCTTATGATAGCTTAATGGGAGGAAGTGGGAGTAAGGGTCCTAGATGCTTCATGATAATGGCTGGTCACCAGAAAACTCAAGTGATTAGAGGATTAGAACTTTTAGCCACACCTCCAGACCTCTGAAGAAGGGAGAAGGGTTGAAGACTGAGTTCAATCACTAATAAAAAGGATTTAATCAACTGTGCCTATGTAATGAAACCACCATAAAAACCCTTAAACATCAAGATTCAGAGCGCTTCCAAGCTAATGAACACATGAATGTGCAGGCTCTGTGCCATCCCCATCCTAACGTCTTGCACTATGCATCGCTTCCACTAGGCTGTTTTTAAGTTGCATCCTTTATAATAAATATTTTATGGTAAGCACAGTGCTTTCCTAAGTACTGAGAGTAGTGCTAGCAAATTATCAAACCTGGAGGTGGGGATCATGGGAATCCTCAAATTTGTAGTCAGACAGGCAGAAATTGAAAACACCTTTGCAAAAACTGTAACTGAGAAAATTATGACAGTGCAAGAGATCTCACCTAACCAGCTCCACCTTGCTTCTAACCTCCAAGCTGTCTTTGTTCATTCCAGGGTCAAACTAACTTGGGAGGAATGTAGTTTACAGCTCAGCTTTGGGAGGAATGTAATCTATAACGCAATGTTGAAACAAAGACAATAATAACCCTTTCCCAAAACAAACTACCTTCCTGCTAGAGACTAGACTGTCTTTGTAGGACTAATTAATTAGTCATAACATTAGAAATTATGGTTTAGAAGTCATGCAGCTGGAGGCTGCATGATTCTGAACCTCCCCAAATTGCTCTTGGGGATAACATCACGATTATAAAAATATGATCAGTGCCTGAGATATTTTGCAGACCCTGTCCTCTGAGCTGTCACCACCCAGATTGATAAACTGGTTCATCTGGTCTTGCATTCAGGTACTGACTCAACACCAAGTGGACAGCTTCAACTTTCTGTTAGGAATAATAAATTCCTCTTCAAAAGGTTTAAGTGTGTAATGTTCTTATCCTTTGCTCAAAAGCCCAACCTCCTTATACTCTCTTGTTTCTAGCCTGCAAACCACCCTCCAGCTCTAGTAGCACCCTGACATGCCCAGGCATGTCCAGACATGCCTTGCACCATAATGTACAGACCACTCCCACCCCCTCCTTCTGTTACAAATTACACACTAACCATATTTAGAAGAGTTTAAGGCTTAGCCAACCAGGATCAGCTTAGATTGTGTGGTCCAACCCTAGCCAATAGGGGAAGGACACACAGACAGGAACTGCATTAGGGATAAAAACCCCTTCTCTCTTTTGTTCAGTGTCCTCTTGCAATCATCACTAATGCAGGCAGCACCCTTTTGCAGAAGTAAATTGCCGTGCTGAGAAAACTTTTTGCCTGAGTGCTAGTTCTTCTTTATGGCACAAAGCATTTGTTTCCAACATCTCTATAATTTCATCTCTAACCCAACCAAGCAGCACTCCCGACTCACTGGCCCATTACCCACCAAATTATCCTTAAAAACTCAAGATTCCTGAATTTTCAAGGAGACTGATTTGAGTAATAATAAAACTCTGGTCTCTTGTATAACCAGTTCCATGTGAATTAAACTCTTACTCTATTGCAATTCCCCTGTCTTAACAAATTGGCTCTGTCTAGGCAATGGGCAAGGAGAACCAGTTGGGTGATTACAAAATGTCAGAAGCCTGGGCATCCCATTTGCAGCTGGCATCTTAACAGAAGCCGTCTTATGAAACAAAGGCCTTAACCTGCAGGGTCTGTACTATCTCCAGGTAGTCAGTGTCAAAACTGAACTCAATTG